ACTTTTTTATCACAGAACAAGCTCAATGCATTTCTCCACTTCAACCATCCATCTTAAATTCTACTAATAATATCCCCATCTATTTTACCATCACTCTGAACAATAGATCCAATATATCTAAAATATGTACTCTTATTAATGTCTTGATCGCTCAAAGTCAACCCCCCCTACATCTATTATGATTAAAATTACACTCCTTATATTCAGTTTTACATAACTCAAATGAAGTCCTTTGGACTCTAAGGTTGACATCCATAATTCAAGTTTGCTTTCAACTCCCTCTCTAGACTTATCAACAAGAAGAATATCATCAACAAAAAGCTGATAATTTCAAGTATTTCCTATTCTCCTTTACCGCAATCCACCAAGGAACTGCTGTCCAGAGCGGGAAAAACAGTGAAAACAGCGGAAAACTGTAGGAAAACTGAGAGAAATTCGTAGGAAAAACTTGTATTTTACTAGTAGATGCAAGGAAATTAGCAAAGATACAAGGATCCTCTATTCGAGAGGAGGATCGCACTCTCCCAATCTCTAGAATTCGATCTAGAGCCCAAGTCAACAAGAAGAACAAGAGAAACTTCAAAACAAAATCACATAACCCTCATCCTCCCCTTTACTCTCTACTTAATGCATACAATTCAAAATCGATACAAAAGGACCTAATTACCCTCATTTCCCCTCCTTTTGGCTCCAAGAAACAATTTGAATTTCAATGGACCCCACCTAATTTCCTCCTGCCGCTTCTGCCCCCTGTTCCGCCCGCTTCCGCCTTCGGTAAACGAGAGCCGGCCCGCTGGGTTGGGCCGGCTGGACCGGTCCTCTCTGGACCGGTCTAACAAAAGCATACACCAGGGTGCAACATCTTGCAAATGTCTAGCAAGAACATCCATGACTAAAGAAAAAATATATGGGCTTAAGGCTGATCCTCGATGTAATCCAACTGAAATAGAAAAATACATGGTCAAACCACCTTGTGTTTAAACACAAGTAACAGCTCCTGCATGTATATTCCTTAATGACTTGAATATAAGCATTATTAACCCTTTTGTTTTTTAGAACTCTCCATAGCACTTCTCTTGGAACTTTATCATATGCTTTCTCTAAATCAATAAATATCATGGGCTTATCATCAACGAGATAAATTTTCTCATAATCTTTTGCAAAATAGTTGGGCACAAGATACTTTTTTTTTTTTTTTAATTTTTTGGGCACAAGATCCTTAAGTCGAGTAAAGGGAAAAAACATATCGGAGTCCTAGATTCAATACTTCTTAGAACTATCTAAACTAAGGATTAATGCATCGAAGGTATCTTTTCTATTGATTGATCGATTTGATTTGAATCCTATCTATCTTTTTTTGTTACCTGTCTGAGTACATTGTCATCATGCACAGCTTCAATTTTTGGATTTACTTTTCATTTTAAGATTTGAATTTGCGTTGTTGTTGCCCCTCTTTGCCATCTCTCTCTTTGCTTTAAAAGTCTCAAAGTAGTAGAAAAAGATCAAGTCTTCAAGTTACAAATTTATTTGAGCGTCAACTTTGTAGACCAAGAACATATGTTGATTGTCTTCACAGTCTCACACCAACGCCCCAGATGTGATGATAACAAGCTTACAACATGAACTTCATTGCTGACGTTGATATTAGTTGAACTCAACTAACTTGAAATCATATTGAATTCATTGATGTGTTTTGTAGTTTAAGTTTCTTCTGCACCTTGAGATTGAAGAATTTTCGTAATATATTCATCATCAAAAGTTTCTAATTATCAAAGGATTCTCACATGCATTGTACAACTCCCAACACTTGTTTGCTCAAGTGATTTCAATCTTTTTTACTCGTGTTTGTTTTGTCTTCAAGAAAGGTTGATGTAACTTTTTTGGGTACATGTCATCCTCAACTTTAGTTTCCAATATCCTAAATCTTTCCCATTTATCTTTCAATACTCACCTTTTCTATCCTTATTAGCCCACTGCCTCACTTTTCTCATATGACCTCAAAGTGAAGCAATAATATAGTTATTGGGAAAATTTTGCTTGCAAGAGCAATGATTAAAACGTTGATGAGAAAAATGAATATCACGCTCCAGATAATCAAGAAACAAATGATTCACAACTCTTACCAATGGCCAAAAAACTAGTTGTCGGTCTTTTATTTAACAAGAATCTTCACCAACATAATTTATAATCAACCTTAATAACTTTCCATCTAGCTAGCTCCCTAAACCAACCACCAGGAGTGACCTCAATGCCATCAATCCTTGTTGACCACAGCATCAGCCTTTGATTACATCACAACAATCATCGCCGTCTTTCCCAAGGCCCATGAACCTCCTTGTAAGCCTCAATGGCCTCTTAAGGATTGTCGTTGGAGCAATCTCCTTACCACTAGAGAGCTAAATCCATCCATATTTGTTGGCTTCGTCAACTTTCAGACCCACCTACAACAGAACTTTTCGACCAAGAGTAAGAATGTCATCAACCACTATTCAATCACTATTCTCTACAATTGAGTGAATCTACCTTAGGAATTTCCACAAAAAAAAAAAAAACTTATTATGCTGCTTGATCTCAATTCTTTTAATTCCAGATAAAGGTTGTAGGAAGGATAACAACTTGCTGAGTATAGGTAAGATTTTCATGGCTCAATTTTAGCAAACAAATTGACTCTGATTTTTTTTTAAAAGGGAATTTTTTAGGAAATTATTCTTTACATGTCAAAAATTTGTAGTCAACCTCTTTTTCAATGAAGCTGGCAACCTTGAGGTCAGTACCTCTAACAATAGGTAGCCTTTCCTTTTTTTTAATTCATTGATGGCTTGTATCAAGGTTCAAAATAACAAAATTAAGATGAACGATATATTGCATAATCAAGGTAGGGCATAAGCCTGAAAAACTTTAAAAAAAAAAATAGGTGAAATGCTCATAAGTCATCAGCACTGTCCATCAATGAATATTGCATAATCAAGGTAGGGCATAATCAAGGTAGGGCATAAGCCTAAAAATAAATAGCAATGATATATTACATAAGAACTCATAAGTCATCAGCACTGTCCTCACTAAGGGGTTCTTTATTTGAATCATCATTATGGTGAAATGCTCTCTCCCCTTCCTCCTCTCCTATAGAGTCCAATGTTGGGCATTTACTTCAAGATTTATGTAAGTTTTAATATATATAGCATGAGGCGTAAGCCTCAAGCCTCATGCCAGTGAGGCGAGGAAGGCCTCAACCAAGTTGAGGCGCAAGCCTCATAAAAAAACTCGAGGCGTAAGCATCAAGGCGTTTTTTATTGGAATTGCGCAAAGGCGAGCCTCATATTGCGCAATTTTAAATCATGACTTTGACTGCAAATGCTTGCAGTTCAGTTACATCATCTTTAAATTATGCCTACCAATAGTCTAGATTATAATGAAAAATAGATGATTATAAATTAAGGAAGCATAAATATAAAATTTTAATTATAATGCATTTCATAAGGAAAGCATGTTTTCTAGCATGATTAGGCTACACTCTTAAATCAACCATTTCATTATTTAAATGAAATCTTTAAGATGATCATTTACCTTTAGATAATCCGGTATAAGGAGAAGCCTATCCATGTAAGCTAGTCTTGATCTCCTTATTTATGAGAAAGTCATTATCATAATGAAATTGATGATTCAAGTAATATGTAGTATGATGCAAATTATAATGCAACTGATGATCCCATTTTTCACATCTAATTTTTCAAATCTCTTTATATAGAGCTTCTTAATCCCCTAATTCCCTTGTTATTTCTTACTTTGCCTTATTGTTGAAGCTTATTACTCGAGCCTTCTAACCATCAACCATCTCAGTACATATCTTGGAGAACCCGTGGTCTTAGGAACATAGTTTATACCTCGACAAAAAGAAAATCTTTGTAAATAACTTTCTTTGCTTATTTTTCTTCGTGGTTTTTTGCACGTGGACTTTTATTCCATTCTTTAGAAACAAGCATGGCCTCTAAAGGTTGTTGCAATTCTTTGAACCATTATGAAGTTCAATAAGTAGTCGTGAATCATGAGCTGACTAGCCAAATAATTTCATTTTCTTTGAACTTATCAAACTCTACATCATGAATGGTTGTAAATAAACTTGCTTACTACAACAACAACAATAACAACATCAAGCCTTTGGGTCGGCTACATGAATTCTTTTTCACCATTGTCCTGTTAAAAGTCAAATTCTCATTTAAATCTAATAAAGAAAGATCATTTCTAATATTTTCTAACCAAGTCTTTTTAGGTCTACCTCTACCTTTCTTAACATAAGTCAAATCTCATACCTCAACTTTCCTAACCGGGTCATCGGAAGGCCTCCATTTAATGTGACCAAACCATCTAAGGCAACTCTCTCTAATCTTATCTTCCACTGGAGCCACTCCAACCTTTTCACGTAGCTGGAAATAAACTTGCTTACTAATGGTGAAAATTTTTTGGTGCATCATAGCTTATTAATGATGTCTGTCTAGGAGGTGTGCAAGGTGCTATGATCTCATATTGCTTGTCTAGGTCACTAGGCGAGCATTCAACTTGCCGTTATGAACATGGTTCTCAGTTAGGGTTGACTACGCAACAAACCTCCAACAAAATGCAGTAATCAAGAACTTACCAATTTTGAAAAGGCTTTTTTGTTTGCAAGTGGCTTAATGTGAGGTTGGTCTTTATATATCCTCTACATCTGAGGGCTATGGTTTTTTTTTTACTTTATTTAAAGTTTCCATTTTACGAAAATGTTTGCCGAAAGATAGAAGCTAACTAATTTAGAAGCATGAAATAAAATCTCACAAGCGATGAAATAAAATGATAGCATGTTTCAATTGATATTTTTTCCTCTCTCGCTGATTGAGAATTTTGAGTAGTTATATGCTGTTAAATATCTATGTTGTACTGCATCAACATCTGTGTATACAAATGTTACATTATAGTTTTAGTTAGATTTCTCCTTTCAGTTACGTCACCTGCTTATTATATAACAGGTTGCAGGATGTAGTTCACAGTGAGAAACGTATATACTTGGTGTTTGAATATCTGGACTTGGACTTGAAGAAGCACATGGATTCATGTCCGGACTTTGCTAAAGATCCACGTTTAACAAAAGTAAGATCCCTTTGCCTTTTGAAGAACACATGAATTACTTGAATAATTATTACAGTTTAGGATACTTAACTATTTTTTTTCTCTTTACACATAAAATAGCCCATTTTATTTAGGATGCTCAACTAAGATTGGATGATTGTATTAGAAGAATCTTTCATTCTTGTGCCATCAGGTGTTGGTGTAGTGATTCCCATTTCATAAATAATGACAAGCATAAAAATATCGTCTCCTTTCCTAGCCAATAGATTTTCATTTCATCATATTGTTATATATTAACCTGATCATACTGTGAATTTTTTAGAGTTCCTGAAGCCCAACTGTACCATACATTTTTTTCTTAGGTATGATTCTAATAACTCTCGGCAAAAGTTAAAAATAATTTAACATGATGTGAATTAATATTGCCTTTTCGTTAAGTCTTAAATATGAGGGATTACTTATTCTTCATTTTCTTAAGTTGAGACATGCATAAGAGGATCTTGACCTTTTTCTCAGTTGTGGATAATTTTCTTCTCTTGTATATAAATTTTGAATAATTGCATGTAGACTCACATTTGTAGTGCTTCATACACTGGAATCACCTAGCGGAGCCGTTAAATTTTCAATCTACAGGAATTGGGTTATTATCTTCATAAACAGAGGAATGGTTGAACTCTCAGATAAAGAAACAATAGAGCTTGTAGAATACGATTCTTATCTTCCTGACTATTTCTTGCTCGTCTTTTTTGGCCCTGCAGTCTTACCTCTATCAGATTCTCCGTGGCATTGCTTACTGCCATTCACATAGGGTTCTTCACCGAGATCTGAAACCGCAGAACTTATTAATAGATCGGCGGACTAATGCTTTGAAACTTGCCGACTTTGGACTAGCCCGAGCATTTGGCATTCCCGTCCGGACTTTTACACATGAGGTATTTCTTTCATCCTTCTCTTTACATTTGGAGGATACTTCCATTTTCATCCAACAGCCTTGTAACTTGCAGTTCTTACCAACTCTTATTGATCTTCTGTAAGGTGGTCACACTTTGGTATAGAGCACCAGAAATCCTCCTTGGAGCTCGACAATACTCTACCCCGGTGGATGTGTGGTCAGTTGGGTGTATTTTTGCTGAAATGGTCAATCAGCGACCATTGTTTCCTGGAGATTCAGAGATTGATGAATTGTTCAAGATATTCAGGTTTGCTCATTAATCAAAATTGATATAATTTAATTACTGAATGTAGTCTATTAAATCTACTAATTCTTTGAAGCTGTAATCTTGTAGAATTTTAGGAACACCAACTGAAGAAACTTGGCCAGGTGTTTCTTCCTTGCCTGACTTTAAATCTGCTTTCCCCAAGTGGCCATCTAAGGTATGGGTTTTAAATGTGTCTGTTTCTCCATTTAAGCAACCTTCTTACAGAATTTCTCCGCCTTCTCCACCACCTCCCATTTTCCCTTGCTGATTCTGCCCTGATTCTTCTGTCCCTCTCTACCTCCCTTTCTTCCGACCTGAGTTTTTTTTTTTTTTTTGCATGTGCGCCTATGTAAGTTCTTGTCCTCGTTATATAAATAACTCTTATGGACTTTATATATTCTTCAGGATCTAGCAACAGTGGTTCCAAACCTTGAGCCTGCAGGAGTTGATCTTCTATCTGTAAGTGACCAGGCTTTTTCTATTTTTCTTTCCATCCCGGTAATTAGAAAGCATGAGTATCACAAGCCGCTGAAGTTGCAACCATAAGTGGATTCGGGGAAATGGAATTCTTCAATACATAATTATCCAACTTTTTGATAAGTGATTTTTTTTGGGGGGTAAATTTACTCGAGAAAAGAAATCTAAGAGGCAAACAATGCCCCCTAACACATAACATAACCTTGAAGGGAGCAGCTTTGTATGCTTGCCTTTGTTTTTCACCTTCCTGAAAGAGAAGGCATTCCATTACTGAAATGAATGAGCTATGGTCCTCAGTTTACAGCTCTATCAAGAAGATTTGCCTTCTGAAAATTCACCCGAAACCTAAAATTGTTAAAACTCTCCGCCGTCGTAGACACAAATAAGAAAAGAGACTGCCGCGGAGAGGCCGGGGCAGGTCGAATTTTCGGAGCCCACAGTACATAAAATGCTAAGCTAGTCGTTTAATGCAAAATTAGATTAGTAGGTTTCATTTATTTAGAGCCAATAAAACTTCCATTTTTCTATCAGTTTTCATTTGATTTTATGGCTGTTTCAGAAAATGCTCCGATTGGAACCAAGTAAAAGAATCACAGCCCGACAGGCACTGCAACATGAATACTTCAAGGATCTTGGGGTCGTTCCATGATAGCTTTTCTTTGCTCTTTATTGTCTGCTTATTTGTTTTATCTTTGATTAAGTTTGCTTTAGGGTTTAGGCAGTAGACTTGTTATCCTGCCCGAGTCGTGTGCTTCGATTTGTTTCTGCTCGCCCTAATTCTTGGACGAGTTTCTGTAAAGATTGTGCTTTGTTTGTCTCTGTTACATAGAGCTTTTAAAACTCTTATTTCTTTCCAGAAAACAGGGCCTGCTGCCTCCTATTTGATTTGCTTGGATGTATTGAAAATTTAATATTTCCATTCGTGCTTTGAATCATTGGCTGGCTTCAGAACTGTTATCTTTTTTTGTCTCAAGAAAATTATCATCCTTTTTTCTCCCATTTTCATTGTATGCCTTTTGATTTTGAGCCTGGAAAAAAGATCTGTGCTCTACAACTCCTTAATAGTATAGATTTAGACTTCATTTGGGATGATTTTTTTACTGCTTTTTAAAGCAGCTTTTTATTATAAAAATTAAAATTTTTGTCCTAAAAAGTTGCTTTAAGAAGCAATAAAAAAGCTGTCCTAAATGAAGCCTTAATTTTATGCTATTGAGAGTGTTCTTTTCATAATTGATCCTTTAAATTTGTCAAATAATCTGATATGATGTGTAAGGTTTTGTTTCGGACAGTTTTTTATTACTTTATTTTTCAGTATTTAGTCTTTATTTTTTGCTTTTTTTTTTTAAGAAAATTATATCAGGAAGTCGGTTTTTACAACAGACTTCAAAAAAAATATTTTCTTACAGCAATTTTATTTCTCTTTTATAAAAAAATTGCACCTTTGTCAAACAAACCCTAAATGTTTAATGAAATTATTTGGTACTCAAAAGAGCACTTTTTTAAGTGCAACGCCTTTCAAAATACCGGACATGTATTAACAGCCGTTAGTATATTGAGTAGAGGCAAGCGGTAGAGTTGTTATTGCTTTGAGGACTCCATCGAAGTTTTCCAAAGAGCGCAATTATATTTCTTAAATTTGGGAACTACTTGTCCTGCAGAGCCCTGTATTGGGTACCCATACTCACACCCACCCATGTACCCACCCATACCCAATGGGCATGGGTGGGTATGGGTACGCCCATAGCCTCGTGGGTGGGTATGGGTGGATACTCAACATCAGAGAACCAATTTATAATATTAATCACCATATACATGCAATATATTATAATAATCCTTACTACACAGTGTGCAACACTGAACCGCGTCACGACCATGATAAATTTTGATATGTGGCTTGAAAGTTTGCAGTCAGAGAAAATGTCAAAAAATCTCAAGGCCATTATTTTATGACAGACTGCATTCAATAAGCTTGGAAAGTGGGTGGGTGTGGGTGGGTATGACATCCGGAAAGTCACCATAGGTGGGTGTGGGTGTGGGTGGGCAAAGCCCGCCAGCGCAGAGCATGGGTGCCCAATGGGTACCCAACCAGGACCCCATGTAGGGCTCTATAGTCCTGTTGAAAGAGTAGTAGGAAATGTCATCATCATCACTGATCAAAATTAAGTGATGAGTGAACAGATTTGTCTAAAATTTAGGCGAGCAGGACTTCCATAATAAATTTGGATGGTAAATTTTTTATGACTGGCCCTTTATGATTCATTTGGCTTTGTTTAGATTGAAAGAAAATGAAGGAAATGAAATGCAAGCCACTTAATTTTTGCGCTGATTAAAGATCTGTAGCCAGCATTGTGAACTTCTAAACTCTTTTTTATTTCACTCAAATTATCAGCTTCTAGCCAGTCCTTATGTTTCTATGAGTTAGGAAATAAGAAGGATTAGACCGATCAAATCTTTCTGAATATTTGAATGTAAGTTGATTAGCCTAATTTTAAATTCTAATATAATGTTAGTTGCTCAGGTGAAATAGTCACCCACATCAAAGCCGCCGATACACTTTATATGATTGGTATATGATAGGAAACACTTGATATTTTAGAGTAATTCCTATCAATTTCGGAAAAATAGAGAAAAAAACTTCCAAACTCAACGAAAACAAAAAAAGGAACATACCAAGATAAAATTGATCCTCTATTAGAGAGGATGATCTTTCTCTCACAAATCTCTAGACGCTGCTAGAGCCCAAAAAAATTAAAAGATCTCAAATTTCAATCAAATTCAAGTTGCCCTAATCCTAAGAAAACAAACTATTTAATGCATACAATAAAAAAAAATGCATACAATCCAAAAGAAATCTCTAAACAATCCCTACATTTAAATTTCCCTCCTGACTCCCTCAAAAATCCTTCCCAAACTGCTCTATTGGCTGAAGAGGTTTGGTCGGCGCATACAGGGAGGCGGAACTCTTCCGCCTTTGTCCGTCTGAGCCGGTCCTATGTGGACCTACTAGACCGGTCTAACAGTATCAATTCCACCATTCTTTTTCAAAACTATTTTGATATTGATGGAATCAAACTCCAATGCTCTAACTGAATTGTGCAGTTGAGATTGGGGTAACTACACCTTCACAATTAATCATCATAATTAGAGAGAATCTCCATCTGTATACCCTAAAACAGAATATATAAAACTCAAAATCCAACCAATTTCCTTAGAAGTTCATAGCTCCTTCATTTCTTCAAGGTGCAAACCATGTTGAATCCCTCAACACAGCATGAAAAAATCAAAATAATAGTAAAAAATCTACAAATTCATTTACAACAACACAAAGTGTTTGACAATGCCATTCTTCATAGGAGCTTTACCCAGCTGTTGTTATGAAAATTTGAGCACTAAGTTCAGCAATGCACTCAGTTGGAAGACTAAGAAAGGAGTTCATTATAACATCATCAATGGGATCAACAGTTGCAACTCCCACCAACCTGCATTTCCCTTCTCTGTCCAATCTCTCCCCTTTCCCACTTCTTAAGCTTCCCTTTGATTCCTCTGAAGTCAGTATAGTCTCAACCATCAAAGCAGGCGCCCTATAAATGATTCCAATTGAAAACCAGAATTTCGCCCTGAACTGCAGCTCAACCTGCACTTAGCCACTACTAGGTTGAAATAGTGATAAAAAGTTGTTCATTCTATAAGAATGGATGTATATAGTAATCATAAGGCCTTCTCCAACCGAATTCCAAACGCATGAATGGCATCGCTCGGGAGCTCCAGCTGAAAGGCAAAACTTTCGCTATTTGGTTGCGGGTGAATAGTGTGTTCTGTCTCTACCGGATTTGCGAAAAAAACACGCAAAAGAGGAGAAAGACGGTTTCTTGAAAATGGAGTTCGATTGGAGATGACTATGGCATTTTTTAGTTTCACTTCATTTTGAAGCGAAAAATGGGATTTTCATTTGGAGATGCCTTTAACTGGCTTTAAACTGCAAAAACCCTCTTAAAACTCCACTAAATTGACTGGAAACTGAATTTTTTTAACTATAAGCAACCAAATGAGCCCATCCTTACCTTTCCGCTTGCCCTATTGATACTTCCTTGAAATCTCTCAGGAGCAATGTCAATCTTCAAAAATGGCGGCAGCGGCAGGCCTAGAAACCTCGTCGTTGCGCCTGTCAACGGTGGTATGTACAGCTTTTCAAGGTCAAAAAGTGCAAATATGTCTTCCGTTGGATTAAAGCCATTAAATTTCCCGGTGGCAGAGCCGATGCCGCCATTGGCGTCGTATTCAAAGTCAGGGTAGCTGCCTATACCAAGCTTGCAGTTTTCCAGAGTTTGGAACTTGATGTTGCAGATATTGGTGGGATGTGAAGAGGTTTGAGTTTCATGGCTGCTTATGGAATGGGATCTGCAGTTCAAAGTTGGGTTGGATGAATGGTAGGGATTGGGAGATTTTGTGGAGAGTTTGTGTAAGATTGGAAGATTGTATGAGTTAGCTCTGCAAGACATCTGGTTTGGAGTTTGAAGAAATTTGGAAGAGAGTGCGAGGATGGTAATTGGAAGGAGAAGGAAAATCTGTGGCTGAGATTATTTATCGCCCCTCGCCTTATCCTGTGAATTTGCTTTCAGCTGTTTGGTTGGCTAATAAAAGATATAGGGAAATTTACATACATACCACTTTATAACATTCTATTTATATATCTAACATCCAAAATTTTAATATTACATGCATACCACCCTATATTATTTTAATATCAAATATACCACTTATATTTCTTTCCTACCACTCATATATTTCATTTCTACCACTCATATTTGATATGAAAATGAACTATGGGTGGTATATATGTAATATTAAAGTTTTAGATGTTAAATATGTAAATA